CTAATTGCAAGGCAAGGAAGAACACAAGCTATCATCTCCTTGGAAAAAGATATTCAGAGCCTGTAATTTCATCAGCATCACAATTTTTGTTCTTCAAATATCTGTTTCAGTGTAGTATGCCATAGAAGGGAAGCTGTTTATGGACTCTCTAGCCAGATGTTGATAAGTTTGGGGCTTTTCCTCTTCTTGGGAAAAGCAGCTGAACTGAATTATTCTAGGCAGCAATGGTTATAATTCTTTCTCTTGCATAAGCAGCTTTTGGACATTGGCATTTTCTTTAGCAGTGAACTAAACTGGTAAACACATCTGAATTAAATTCTCTTAGGCATTTCTCTGCCTTCCTCTCAGTGTTTCTACAAATTTCTGCTCATCACAAACACAATGGTGTAGTACTGGCAGAGGAGGACCTGCAAACTGTTGTACCTGGAGTCTTTGAAATCCAGCTCATATTCTGCTTAACAGGAGACTGGAAGATTCACAAGTATTGTATCTCAAAGCCTGTCTTCTTCTTGTGCCAGCAGGCTTATCCCAAAACTATTCCCTGTGCTCTAGTGTAGATGTTTCCCTTGGACCACAGCCTCCAGCTGTTCTGATTGCCAGTCAGGCCACTGAAGGAGTAGGAAGGGAGCTAGTTAACTGATGAGTGCAGAGCAATATATGCCTCATCTAAATCAACTCTGAGAAAAATACCTTCAGCACTTGTTTTCCTTGCAGGCTGTGCATGAATGGTCCAGCTTGCCCAGAGCTCTCCCAGGTAGCATTCAAGCTGCACAGGTGGGTGTTGGAGTCCCCCTCACTGGGGACCCTCTGGAGGCAGGGGGAGCCACTGGGGCCATGGTGTTGCATGTTGGCACACAATCTGCCTTGGGCTTCAGTCCTGGACCATTGCTGAGGAGGCATCAGAACACAGTGAGGGCTTCCAGGGCTTCAGACAGAAGCCAGTTTTCTTTTGGGCAATATGGTTTTGTAGAATAAAAATTGCATTGTCTGTAAGGCTTTAATTTTCCACTGTGGTTTAATTGCACATAATTATGATAAGTGCTGAGAAACCTCAGCTTTCTCTTAATCCAAATCCTGACTTCCAGGCCCTTTCCAGCATACCTGGGCAAACCAGCATCACATCACAATAGGAAGTACCCACTTCATACTGGCAAGTGAGAGCAAGGGTTACGAGGGACTCTTTCATGACATTATCTTGTTGGGATTTCTGGAGAGTGTGAATTGAAGGTAGTCCAGTTACTGCCACAGACTTTCATTTTGCCACAGACAAAATATTTCTTTTCCTGAATGAGAGCATGAGCAGGCTTGATCTTTCATTTAACTTTCAGCACAATGGAAGTGCATATGTACGTGTCCTTACCACACCTCCACCCACACACAAGATGTACATACACATTTGGAACACAGAGAACCTTTCTGGTGAGTCATGGTGTTTGTGCTACCTCTGGTGCAGGCAGCTGCATCATCTAATTACTTTCATCAAGTGCCATCATAAAAGTTTACCATTTTCTTGTATCTGTGCTCCCTCACATGGCAGTTCCAGAGCCTCCCTGCTCTGACAGTTAAAGATTTCTCTCCAGATGCCAACTTCAAATGATTCACAATCACTTTACATTCTTTGTTTGCAAGCCAAAGTTTCTCTTTAGCCTAAATGGTTCCTGTCCCTTTCTGGTAAGCTGATTACAGTCTGATTCCTCAAATAAAACTGCTTCTGCAGTCACACTGGCTGGCTGGCAATCTCAGCCTTTCTCAGCTCCTTTGGAACTTGTTGGCCAGTTTCAACCAGTGCTGGCGAGGGAGCAGTGGTGAGAAATATGGGCGGTCCTTCCCTACGGCGCGATGGTTATTGACAGAGTATGAGATAGAGACTCAGCACAACACCATCAGTGGTTGGTGAGGAGGTGAACTCAGCCCTTCTCCACAATCAGGGACAACAAACAGTTGGCTGGTTGTGTATTAGCCTGTTTGCCCAGTCTAGCAGACTTGGGAGAAAGCTTGGGACAAAATGCTGGCTAGAAGGGATAGGGTTTGTGGAAGTATACAGAATGGATGAATTAAGCAGTTTAAGCCCTAATCTACAGGAAACAAAGCTCCATTCGTTTGTGGAACACTTAGTTATAGAGGGTGGTTATGATTGAAATATGTGCAGGGATACAGATATATCCCAGGAAAGGGAGAAACAGATCATCAGGGAAAAGCCTGAATGAGTTCAGTTGCTCCCTGTGCCAGATGACCAGCAGAATGCATTCCTGTCACTCAGCTCTCTCCAGCCCTCAGCACAGGACACAAATGATGCATAGGTCTCCTGCTGGCCCTGCCACACAGGGACACATTTCACCCAGTGAGACAGACAGGATAATTGACATGATTGATTCTTTATATATCTGCTAGACAGGTCCGTGGGCCATGAGACTCATGAACTGTCAGACTTCTGAGTGCAAATCAACCTTTAGGCACTTGATCAAAGGCAGTCTCTCAACTTTTCACCTTGCTCTGGCTCCATTTTAAGCTACAGGCCTCCAGTGCACAGTGCAGAGATCTTGCCATGACTCGTAAGTCAGCATTTTCAGAGCAAATGCATCCCTGTGGCCATAGCTCAGAAGTGCTGCTGATCCATTACTGGATGTGATGTGCTCAGAAAGTGCCAGGAAGGCTTTCTGTTTTGCCCAGTTGTGTCTGGCTGAAAGCTCTCAGGGAACCAGATCTGAATACACATCTGATGTGTGTTTCTGTAACTGATGTGACATGTGTCTGATATAGTACCGGGGTACAATTTTAAGCAAACATTATATTGAGAGAAAGCACAAGCATAAAATTCCAAAGGCATTTGCTTTCATGTTTCAGCATACATTGGTTTACTTGGACAGATAAGTAGATGGGAGGGGGAAAGACAGAAATCAGTTTGACTATTGAAGATGCCCTTCTGAAGGTGAGTTGTGTGGGGTTTGCTGGTGCTGTCATCATCATTGCTGCTGAGCATGCCATCACACCAGATCTTTATCAGTTAAAGCAAGGTTTTTGCTTTAAACTAAGAAGTTTAAATAAAAAGAAAATTTATTAATGAAACCATTCTAATGGTTTGTTTTAGTTGTTATATGTAACAAGAAGGATCCATGAAAGAACTTGCTATGAAGTACTTCTTCATACTAGCTGCAAAGAGTGACCCTCTGAACATTTCCTCTGAGAGTTTACTGGGTTTAAGTTAAGGGTGTACTCCAGGTGCTCAGTACCAGAGGATTCAACTCACTATCTAAATATGCTGTTTGCATTTACCTGCTGTATGCAGGTAAAGGCTGCAAAACCTGATGGCCCTGTAAGAGGCCAAATAGTCTTTTCCTAGTCTGGAGAGGTGAGACACAGAGGGAGTGATTTGTCTCAGATTTATCAAGGAACCTGGGGCAGTTTGGGGACCTGAAGCCAGGAAGCAGAACCTTCACAGGGTTCTTCCTCCTCCTACTGACTGCTTCAGCTGTTTTGGTGCTGCTTTGTGCTCCTGAAGTGGTGAGAAGCTGCAGTAAGGAACCCCAGTGTGCATTTCCCTCTGTCTTACCTCAATATTGGTTAATGACTGTAGATTTACCTACAACGGTAGCCAACAGGGCTGTGCTGGGTACTCTGTCACTGAAGATTCTGTAAGTGCCATTTAGCAAAATGCATAGATAGTAACCCAAATTCTCTGCCTTTCTGTCCAGGAAAGAGAGTAAATTCCTATTGTATATTAATACATAAAAATAAAATACAATGTAACACTTGATTAAAGACTTCATATTTAACCCAGAGAAAGAATTTGCTGCTTGGGTGGCACTCTGATGCAAAGAATGCAGGTGCAGCCTTGGAAAGAAACATATTCTCACACACCTGAAAACTCTGTTACTGATGAGCACAATCCCCTGCTCTTGCTCAGAAATAAATCTGAAAATGGTGAAAATGGTGTGCATCCAGTTGTTCCTGCCCACTTGTGATTGCCATCCAGCTGCACATCATTCCCTGGGAGTGCAATTATTGATGGATCTGAATTCTGCAAAGTAGAGGAACTGCTTTGTCATGGGGGTCAAGCACAGGACAGTGTGGCCTGCCCTTGACAGAGTTTGCCTCCAGGCACTGTCTTATGCCTGCAGTGCATCTGTGGCTAGGTAAAATATTCAAAATGTGGACTCTGGCATGTGTAAGGGAGGCTTGCATCATCGAGGGAAAAGCAAAAACCTTATCTTGTTGTGTGAAGAGACTAAAAGCACAGGGAAAAGAAGCACAGTGCTGCTAGCACTAGAAAGTAATTGTGCCCAGATCTGGCACACCAGATTTCTGGCCAGCACCAGAAATCAAAAAGCATTGATTGCAGCTCTAGGTTTCCAGATGCTGTTGTTTTCTGCCCTGCCCTGTAGTAGATGACAGTAAAGAGAGAGAGAGCAGTAAAGAACTCTGACTACAGTTTAAGTAATTTTGTTGCTCCCCTTTCACGGGACTCTGAGGACTTTTTCATGTGTAGCTGCTGTTACTGCTGTGTGGCAGAGGGTGGGTTGAAACACCTCAGGATTTCAACCTGTGCCTGTGCTGGCTGAATCTGGGATTTCTGCATCAAAGGCTGGAGTGCTGAGATGTGGGAAGGGGGGTTTCCATCTTCTTGTGCCAGTTCAGCAGAAATACTGAACATCACTGAATAGACCCTAGGACAGGCTGTCCAAAGACTAGGTCCAGTCCAGGCAAGCATGGAGTTCTTTAAATTTCCCAGGGAAAATTCACCTCTCCTACCTCCCACTATAGAACTTTCCCCTTTGTATTTCACCACCACTTGGTGAGGTAGAAAAAGAGCAGTGTAATATATTTACAGATGCTGTTAACACACTAAGCACTGAGATTGACAGGGTTCATTTTCTCACATTTTAATACAAGTGTCAGAAGAAGGAGTCACTGTAGGAGGCAAATTGCCCTGGTTTCCTTGTCCTGCATCCCCAACTGAGTGTGTGTATGGTATATAGTAAGTTACCTCCAATTCCTTTTAGGTTAGGATTTTAAACAAGAAGATCGATTTTAGCGATATTCAGTCCCGGTGTGGTTCCAGAGATAACATCAAACATTCTGCAGGGGGAGGAAATGTAAGTAGTATGGACACCCTGTGAATAGGCATTTCCACTGTGGTGATGCATCTCACACAAGCCAGAACTCTCTGTTTCCCTTCCTCTGAGCACTGCTTTCCTTCTCGCTGCTGTTTCACACCTGAGTTTGGTTTGGTAGTCGAGCGAGCCCTGTGTATGCAGTGGTGGCCTCCTGAGCTTTTCCCCACAGAGCACAACCTATTTTCAGAACTTGGACAGAGAAAGGAAGTGATAAAAGATGGGTTATCTCTAAATGCCCAGGGGAAGGTGCAGTGTGAGCCAAAGTGGTTCAGTGCTTTTCTTTCATGGGAGCAGCCCAAGAAATTTCCAGAAAGAGACTGCAGCCTCCCTGTTGGGCATTTTCTATGCACCAATCCTTCCTCAGCTAACCTTTCAGTTATGTGCATTCAGCAGGGGGGAAGAAGAAAAATAAAACAGAAGGACAGAGAAGGCTCTGAGAAGAGGGTGTGATCAGCCAGCATGCTGAGTGCTGATGTCACAGCATTTTTCCTGTATAAGAAGCTGAGGTGGCTACGAGTGTTCTGATGGAAATGATCACCCCTGAGATGGGAAGAGGTGATGGTGTGGGCATGCCTGATCAAGGCAGGTTCAATACAGCTGCCAGGGCTGGTGTAAATCACTGGTGGTGTGGTGAGTGAGCCAGGGGCATTGCAGTTACCCTGGAGCTCCTGCCTGGCCAGCAGGGCTGTGACTTCTCGGAGCCTGCCAGCTCAGTGCCTATGGCTGTGGGCCTTATCTTGGAGCTGTTTGGGAATGCAAGCAAGATGAGACTGTCCCTCTGTGGTTCTTCCCAGGCTGGGATCAGCACAGCCATGGCAAGGTGGCTGGCAGCAGGGCAGGGAGCAGCAGGAGGAGGGAGGGTGCCTGAGCTGCTGCTCTCCAGTGTGCACTGAGCCAGCTGGCTGAACTTCAGCCTGCTCAGGTACAGCTGCAGGAGGCACATGTGTAGATTACTCAGACTCTCCATAGTGGATTGACAGGAAATGCATACCATATTTAGAGGCAGAAAAATACCAAACAGATGGTAGAGAAAAAAAACAGTCACCAAAATACCCTAGTTGCCAGGATGCATAGTCAAGACAGAAGCAAATGGGATGGGTCCTGCTGTGTGCAGGGCTTTGGAGGAACCACTCTGAAAGGAGGAGGCTCAGAAACATTTTAGAAAGAACCCACAAGCTGATATCCTTTTTCCTTCTCTTCATTTTGCTAATAGGAAAGCCTAACCCAGCTCTATCACCTCCCTAGGTGGGAAGTTTCCTCCTTTGTGGCATGGTCTGTTTTCTACCAACCATTTCTCCTTTTCCAGTGGTTTGTAGAAGCCTCTCACTCTTTCTCTGCAGGGCTTGGCTTTTTATTTTTTTTTTTTTTCATTTTATTATCTTCATTCCTGTTATTTGAGTATGTGTGCACTTTTGACAGGTACAAATTGTAACCAAGAAGATCGACTTGAGTCATGTGACTTCCAAGTGTGGCTCGCTCAAGAATATCCACCACAAACCAGGTACTGCAGGAATTTCTGGGTTGTGGGACAAAGCAAGGACCTAATACTGTTATTTGAATTCAAAATCATGGATGATACATCTCTTTTACAGTCAAAGAGAAAAATAAATACTCTTTAGTAATAAAAATGCATTAAACTACTTCACTAAATACATAAAGACATAATGGTATGAGACCACCTAGTTTAGAGAGGTGATAAAAAAATAATGCCAAAAGATGGTGCTCTGGCATAAGGTTGAAATACAGGCTGAAGGCAGTGAAATACTTAAGCATGTGCTTAAATCCCATGAAAACCAGTAGGGCTGCAGCACCTGCTTACTGTTTAAATATATGCTGAAGATTTTGTATTTTACTGAACATGCAGTGCATTGTTCTGTGCTTCTCCAAAACTATTAGATCTCAACTAAAAAGGAAGTAATGTGAGTGCACTCAGGCTTCAGGTCACACTTTCTCCTGCACCGTTTCAATTTCTTTATCTGTGTTTCTTTTTCCTCTGTAGGAGGTGGGCGTGTGAAAATTGAGAGTGTGAAACTGGATTTCAAAGAGAAAGCTCAGGCTAAAGTTGGCTCACTGGAAAATGCCCACCATGTACCTGGTGGTGGTAATGTCAAGGTAAAGAAACAGCTGTCAGAAAAGGCTCCCACTGTGTCCCAGTGAAATTATTAGAGCTGTGAATTCAGCAATGGCTCTGAATTGAGTAGGAAACATCTGGCTGTCCTCTTTCAAGCACACTCATATACCAATTTGTTCCCTTTGAAATTTGGAATGACCCATCTTGCATCCTCATCTAAGCTGAGAGTGAAATGTCATGCAGTTTGTGCATTTTCCCCTAAACTGTTTGAGACTGTTGGACAGCACAGGTATGATCTGAGATGAGGACTCCATTGTGAAACAGGAGGAAAACATCCTGAAAGTAAGATCACTCCCACAAACATTTGAAAATTCAGATTTTGAAAAAGAAAATCATAGCACCCATATAGTGCTTATGAAATTTGTACAGCTAGGAACAATAGTACTTCTCTTTAAAGCATCCATCAGAGGCAAAAATGGTAGGAGAATGTAACATAGTGAAAACAAGGTGGAAAAATGTCCAGTTTCAATTTTCTAAGGAGCAAAGAAGCTTCAGTCCTTCTAGTAGTTTTTAAAAGTAATCAAAATGACACCCAAACGATGATCTATAAAGAGATAATCCAGTGAATATATAATGTGTGAAATTCTCTGTTTTCCTGGAGCAGATTGACAGCCAAAAGCTGAACTTCAGAGAGCACGCCAAGGCCCGTGTTGATCACGGGGCTGAGATCATCACGCAGTCACCGGGCAGGTCCAGCATGGCCTCGCCGCGCAGACTCAGCAACGTCTCCTCCTCTGGAAGCATCAACCTGCTTGAATCTCCCCAGCTTGCTACCCTTGCTGAAGATGTCACAGCAGCCCTTGCCAAGCAGGGGTTATGAATTTGCTCATTTTGCGTTGTATGAGGTAATAATATTTAGGCATGAGCTCTTTGCAGGAATGGGCTCAGAGCAGGTGTTACGTTCATTCTTTACCATGTCTAAAACTAAGTTACATCCCAAGACTTGTAGTTACCATATAGTTTAAAAAAAAAAAAAAACAGAAAAAAATAATAAAAATTCCATAGATGCAGAAATTGGCCTGACCTCCATTTACAACAGGAAGACACTGGCTTTATATGGGTATACAGCGGTATGTTACATTGGACAATTATTGTTGCTCTGCTCTGTCTTGCATGGAGTACTGTAGTATGATAAAATGCATTTTTACCTTTCATGTGCCTGAAGGCCATCCACCTCTTTCTGAAGAGCCTTGTTAATACCCCAAGTTGCTCATTTCACAGTTCTTTTGATAGATGGGGAAATAAAAAAGTTGCCCATTGTAAGTTATTACAGGTTAAATTAATAGTCTGCTTACCAGAAGGAAGGGCATATAGGGAAATTCAACTTTAATAAAAAAAAAAAAAAAGTTACTTTGTATAAATAAGTAGAACAAAAGTTGAATTAAGTTATTAACATTTTTTGAACCTGGTTAATTATGTCAGTGTATAGCTGAAAAGCCAATAATTATTTAACTAATAACTAAAAACACTAGCTGAAAACATTTGACTTGTGCTTTGGGAAGTGACATAAAAAAGCTGCTGAAAGCAAGCATTCATACCCCAACAGACTTGTGTCTTACTAGAAAAGTTGGTTAAGCAGCTAGATTTGTGTGCATACCTCCAGTTTCACATTCTCTCCATCTGTTTGATACAGTATTATATAGATATATATATTTCTCTGTGGCCATTTGTGATACGCCCTCCTCATATACTTGAATATTCCACTTCTTTATTCACAGTATCTGTGTCTCTTGCACCCTTTGGTGTTGCAATTTTAGGTATGTAAAAGTAGATGTTAGCAGGGGGTTTTTTCCCTATTCATAAGAATACATTTTAAAAAAAGATGAAAATTGTAGCATGAAGTTGCTTTCTGTAACAACTAAAAGCCGTGACCCTGTTTTAGTGACAGATGCAAGTCTATTCTGTGATGCTAGAAAAAGGATTCCTTCCTTCTTCCCTTCCCTCCCTTTCTTCACAAAGGAATGATTTTTGTGGGGTCCAGATGTTTGTCAAAGGGTCTCCAAAGAAGGCTGAGTTTGGACTATGGATTTTTTAAAAATCCACAATAGTTTGGTTCTTTTCTTTTCTTTTCTTTTCTTTTCTTTTCTTTTCTTTTCTTTTCTTTTCTTTTCTTTTCTTTTCTTTTCTTTTCTTTTCTTTTCTTTTCTTTTCTTTTCTTTTCTTTTCTTTTCTTTTCTTTTCTTTTCTTTTCTTTTCTTTTCTTTTCTTTTCTTTTCTTTTCTTTTCTTTTCTTTTCTTTTCTTTTCTTTTCTTTTCTTTTCTTTTCTTTTCTTTTTTTTTTCTTTTTCTTTCCTTTTTCCTTTCTTTTTCCTTTCCTCTCATTTTCTTTCTTTTCCTTTCTTTTCTTTTTCTTTTCCTTCCTTCCTTCCACTTTTCATTCCCATAGTAACAATGAATGTTTGATTTATTATTTTTCTTTTGCTAAAGTTGAAACACAGAAAAAAATATTAAGATGTTTTATCCACTCCTTTAGTGATGTCTCACATGTACATTCAGGCACTCAGATAACAGTGATAATCATAGCAAAGATGCCTGTAAATTACAATACATGAACAAATAAAAATGAGCTCCCTAGACTGGTTGTCATAGTGATTCATCAATTAAATAGGGTGTCTTAAAATCTGAGCAAAGTAGGATTACATTGACTATAAAAAGTATAAGAAAAAGTGTGCATGAAAGATAAAAGGGAGATACACAACCAACCAATCTAGGGGAGTTACCTGAGAGAACCCTGGTGATGGGGACCATCCTCAGCAGCAAATAATCACCTGCTGGTGCCCTGTGTACATGAGACATTATGAAGTGACCAGTTTACATTCTTGCAGATTGTTTTAATCTTTTCCTTTTGAAACCTTGTAACTAAACTTTGCACTGTCAGTTGAGCTATATGTGATATATGTATTAGGTTAATGATGTGTTTTGGAAACTTTTGATCTGTTCTTTTTCCTTCTTCATTTTTACATGTGTGTGTATGTGTGTGTTGGGGTTCGGTCTGAAAGGACTCACAGAGATTTTTATGTCTGTGGAAATCCTAATAATTAATGGCACAGGATTCCCCACGTTACATTCAGGTAGTAATGCAGTTACTGGATAGTAAATATTCAGTGGACCAAAGTGGGGTTTTGGCTAAGCTGCTGCAGCAGTACAAACACAAAACAGAGTGGTTAAATCTCTCGAACTTTTACTGAATATGAACTTCTGACAGCCCCACACATGACATTTCAGCTCTGAAAAAAGCTTTTCCACACAATAAAGTACCTAACACTGTTTGTAAGTCAGTTATTTCTTACAAAGGGCGGTGAGTTTAGAACCATCCGAAGTGCAATTGGAGGATTCTGATTTCTGCCTTGTATTTGTTACACTTCTGCTTAAAGTAATCCTAAGAATTCACATGAAAACAGTGTCAAGTGAGGCGCATTAAAAACTTCTTCCCATATTTTTCAGAAGAACTACAGAAAGGAAAACTGACAGTATTTGTATCACACTGCTCTGATTATGCTATCAATTAATATAAATTAGCCTTGCAGTGGTTTTTCTTTCTATGCCTTTTGCCAGTGTAGGAGAAAAACTGTGGTACTACTGAACCTCTGCTCTCTGAACCTGAGCAGCATCTCATGGGAACAGTGCTAACCTGAGGATCAAGTATTTTTATTCTGCTTTTAAAATTGGCATACTCTAGAAAATTAAGCTTAGTTAATCCACCTATGAGTCCAAAGTTAGAGTGGTGTAACACACCAAGTTGTTTAATGAATGCATTAAAATGAGCTTTCTTGTTTTGACTGAAGCAAAGACCTTTGTAATCATTATCATCCTTCCATAGAAAGAATCCTAGAATGCTGTGGAGTTAGATGAAAAGAAATTAAGAGTTTTGTGCTTTTAAATAATAATTAAAAAAAACCAAGTCACGTTACATGACTCTAGATGTTCACTGAAAAGCTCATACTAATCTTAACTTCTCAAGAAGAGTGTTCATTTTAAAAACAACAGTTTGTAAATATGTAATGCCCACTAAAGATAGAGCCAGCTTCCTGGAAACTGCATCTGTTGTGTTTCTTTTCCACAGGCATGTTGAGCCAGCAGGTTTGTTGGGTGCCTGAGACCCAATTCTGTAACAAAGCAGAGAATCCAGAGAAAAGGAATGGTGAAATCTTGTTTGGGTACTTAGGGGAGCACCCCAAATTTAATAATCCATCAGGTTGTAGAGATGAAAGAGTGCTTCTGCCTCATCTGCAGTTTTGTTTCTATGTAACCACAAGCTGAAAGAAATCAAAGATGAGCAAACCTCTGTCCAGCCAGAGTAAAGGAAAAACTAATCCTGATGAGGGAAATTATGAGCCCACAAGGGCAATATATATTTTCACTGTACAGCAGTAAACGGAATTATTCCTTCAGCCCTCTGCTATGGTACAGTAGTAACCTCATCATGACTGCTCACACATCTAAGTCTGCCTAAATACATGACTCAAAGGGAGTCAAAAGGCAGCCTGTGCTGACTACCACACGAGCAGAAGATTTTTCCATGCTGGACTAAATACTGTTTGAAACCCAAGTATATGTCCCTTCAAAGGCAAATGCCTTGAAGAGTAGATCACATTAGCTGTGAAAATCAGCACAGGTAGATTTCTAGCCTAGGTGTCTGTGAGTTCACTCACTAGTCAGATTGCTAAAGCAGCTCCCTCTGCAACTCAAGCAATTCCCACTGCAGGAAGGTAAATTAGTTTCACACTGGGAAAAGTCAAACGTATAAAAGCCACTTCAACTTTAGCAAAGAGAAAAAGCCAACAAGTAAACATGCTGTATGCTGGGATATCAAGGAATGCTGTTACAAACCTGTGTTTTTTCTGATAATTCTAGAGCCTGTTACCATAAAAGAGGCATTTCTTGAATGGCTGGTGGTAGGTAGTTCATGTTTTTCAATCCGATTTGCAATTGTATTTGTTGCTGTATAGTGATTGTTTTGCAAAATAAACTCGCTTGTCATCTAATTGCATGTGTTGGCTTCCTGTGTTTGTGATCCAGCTCCTCCTGAACCCAAGACCTGTGCAACCAGCACCTGCTGGCACTGCCCTCAATCCACCCAGGAGCAGTCACAGCAGATCCAGTTGTCTTGTTCAGCTAATCCCTTTTACTTTCATACAAAAGGATCAGTTTTCATGGCTTGCATCCTCTTCTGAGTGTCAGTATCTCCCTGCTGGGTGCAAAGTTCTTCCCAGAGAGGGTGATTAGACATTGGACCTGGCTGCCAGGTAGGTGGTGGAGTCACCATCCCTGAAGGTGTTTAAGGAGAGCCCGGACATAGCGCTTCCATGGTCTGCTTGACCAGGTGGAGTTGGTTCGCAGTGTTGGTTGGACTCATTGATCTCAGAGGTCTCGAGATGCTCTCCCAACCAGACTGATGCTGTGATTCTGCAGGGCAGCTCCCTCCTGGGGGTGCTGTGTAGCAGGACCCTGCCCAGAGCAGCGGAGTCCTGGCAGAGCGGCCCCTCGGTGCGGTGACACGTGGCCACACGCTGGCCTTCAGAGCCCCTACGCCAGGGAAATGGTGGCCCTGGGCTGTGACGGTACCAGGGCCACCTCTGCCCACCCTCCCCACGGATTCCTGCAGCCCAGCACAGCAGGAGCACACAGACAGTGCTGGGGGGGTGATGGGTACAGGAGTTGGGGCTTGGGGCTGAGCTTTTGGGTCCGTCTTGGAAACCAACAGGAAACGGCGCAGACTTCGAGGGATGCTTGGAGTGTGTCATTTTGGATCCATGGTGGATGCTCAGTCCCAGCCTGAACTCAGGCCAAGGGCACTGCAGCTCTGTGCTGAGGGTAGAACGGAGAAGTCACAGATCAGTTTGGAAGGGACCTGACAGCTCATCTCATTCCATTCCCTGCCATGGCAAATGACACCTTCCACTAGATGGGTTCCACCAAGTCCTGTCCAACCTGGCCTTGGACATCTCTAGGAATGGGGCAGCCACAGCTTCTCTGGGCAGCATTGCTGAGGATACTGCAGTGTATGACATACTGCTGAGAGTACTGCTGCTGCTCTGGGCAGAAAATACCTCAGAGAATGTTTGTGCCCTGGCATGGACTGGCTGGGTGTGCTGGGTGCCAGATCAGCAGAGGGCATGGTGTAGGAGGGAAACAAAACTGAGTAGA